CGCAACCGTCCGCGCCATACGCGACGCGGCTTCCGAATCAATGGTGTCCGTCCGTCCTGAATAGATGGCTTTTTGGACACCAGCCTACCCACCGAGAGAAAAATAGTCTTCACCGCTTTCTATATACCGAGCTATTTGTGTTTCCAGCTTGAGGATCCACATGTTGCTGTTGGTCGAGATTCAAGAAATACGTATTTTGCCTCAGGTCGACCTAGAGAAGTCACGAAGTCTCAATTCGTGCATTTTACATTCAGCATTCCCGACTGGTAGTGGTCGTACTTTTCCGAAGCCTCGGTAGTAGGAAGAGCCTACTATTCGTGTGTTCCTTCCCGCTATGGGCGGCGCGTTGGCCAAGCCAAAGGAGCGAGACGCAAAGGGGAAGGTTGTTCTTATCACGGGGTGCTCCAATGGAGGAATTGGCTACGCTATCGCCGAGTAAGCCGCTTACGTCTTCAATTCTCGACCTCATTATAATCACGCTCGATTTCCACGTCATGCTCTTGGATTCCTTGGATTTGAAGCTGGATACTAACGCGCTTATTGTCACGCTTTCTTCTGTCACGTCACTTGCTAGGGAGTTTCAGCGCCGCGGCGCGAACGTGTTCGCCACGTCACGCCGAGTCGACACGATGAAGGGGCTGAAGGAGAAAGGGGTGAACACGCTTGCGCTCGACGTCACATCTGAGCCGTCCATCCAGGTGATCCGATGGCTGTGACCTAGTAGCATGTGTCCTCGTTAGTGAGCAACTCACGATGTGTTTTGGCTGGACTGGTGACCCTGCCATTCCGCCCCCACGTCCCCGCCGCTCCCCGCTTCATTCCCTCCCCACTCTCTTTCCCCCTCTCCTCCGCCCCTCCTCTCCCCCTTTACTCCGCCCCCTTTCTCCCCCTCTCTCTCCTCCTTGCCTCCCTCTCCGTCTCCCCCTCTTTCCCCTCCTTTTCCTGCAGGCCCTCCATCCACTACTCCTCTTTCCCTCCACTACGGGCAGTAGTGAAGGAGGTGGCAAGCTCAGCAGGGCGGGAGGACGTCCTTGCTGGTGAACAACAGGGGGTGAGGGCTGCCGGGACCACTGGCTAACTGTCCCCGTTCCACCTCCCCTTCCCCCCTCTATGATCTATCCGTCCGCCTCCCCAACAGGCAGTAGTGAAGGAGGAGGCAAGCTCAGCAGGGCGGGAGCACGTGCTTGCTGGTGAACAACGCCAAGTTTGGTGGGCTGTTGGGATTGCCATACTGTGCCTCCTTCGCCCCCACCCACGTCTCCTCTCCTCTCCACCACTACAGGCAGTAGTGAAGGATGTGGCAACCTCAGCAGGGCGGGTGGACGTGCTGGTGAACAACGCCAGGGTGAGGGCTGCCGGGGTTGACTAGCTCTCTCTCCCTTCCACCCCATCCACCTCTCCGCTTTCCCCTACAGGCAGCAGTCAAGCAAGTATGTTTTTTGAGAATTCACAAAAAACATATCCTTCCCCCCCATCCACCTCTCTGACTTCACCCAACAGGCAGCAGTCAAGCAAGTCACGGGTGCAGCAACGCGGGCTGGGGGCTGCCATGGGCAGCGGGGCGGGTGGAATTTGGGGCGTGGTTGATCGGATCCGATCCGATCTCCAGGACGTGTTGGCCAACAAATCAACGCCGGGCGTGGGCTTTGGGGTTTGACAGGCTGTCTTTCCTCCTCTCCCCCTAACCTCTATCTTCGCACAAGCAGCAGTGAAGGAGGTGACATGGGCAGCGGGGCGGGTGGACGTGTTGGTCAACAACTCAACGGGGGGTGTGAGCTGCTGAAATTACGGTACCATGCCTCCCCGCCTCCCCTCTACCCACCCCACAGGAGGCAGTCAAGGAGATCATGCGTGCAGGGCGGGTGGACGTGTTGGTCAACAACTCAACGGGGGGTGTGGGCTGCTGAGTTTGCCGTACTGTGCCTGCGCCGCCTCCCCTCCCCTCCCATACAGGCAGCAGTCAAGCAGATCACCAGCCAAACGGGGCGGGTGGACGTGTTGGTCAACAACTCAACGGGGGGTGTGGGCTGCTGAGTTTGCCGTACTGTGCCTGCGCCGCCTCCCCTCCCCTCCCATACAGGCAGCAGTCAAGCAGATCACCAGCCAAACGGGGCGGGTGGACGTGTTGGTCAACAACTCAACGGGGGGTGTGGGCTGCTGAGTTTGCCGTACTGTGCCTGCGCCGCCTCCCCTCCCCTCCCATACAGGCAGCAGTCAAGCAGATCACCAGCCAAACGGGGCGGGTGGACGTGCTGGTCAACAACGCCGGGTGTGGGCTGCCGGGGCCACTGGCAGAACTACCCATGGCGAGGATCAAAGAGGTGCGATGCGGTACCCGTGGGTGGGGTGAGATGTGGAGGTGACGATGGAACAAGGTAGTTGTCTGTGTCTGGATAGAGGGTGTGAGCTGCCGGGGCCGCTGGCAGAACTACCCATGGCGAGGATCAAAGAGGTGCGATGCGGTACCCGTGGGTGGGGTGAGATGCGGAGGTGACGATGGAACAAGGTAGTTGTCTGTGTCTGGATAGAGGGTGTGAGCTGCCGGGGCCGCTGGCAGAACTACCCATGGCGAGGATCAAAGAGGTGCGATGCGGTACCCGTGGGTGGGGTGAGATGCGGAGGTGACGATGGAACAATGTAGTTGTCTGTGTCTGGATAGAGGGTGTGAGCTGCCGGGGCCGCTGGCAGAACTACCCATGGCGAGGATCAAAGAGGTGCGATGCGGTACCCGTGGGTGGGGTGAGATGCGGAGGTGACGATGGAACAAGGTAGTTGTCTGTGTCTGGATAGAGGGTGTGAGCTGCCGGGGCCGCTGGCAGAACTACCCATGGCGAGGATCAAAGAGGTGCGATGCGGTACCCGTGGGTGGGGTGAGATGCGGAGGTGACGATGGAACAAGGTAGTTGTCTGTGTCTGGATAGAGGGTGTGAGCTGCCGGGGCCGCTGGCAGAACTACCCATGGCGAGGATCAAAGAGGTGCGATGCGGTACCGTGGGTGGGGTGAGATGCGGAGGTGATGATGGAACAAGGTAGTTGTCTGTGTCTGGATAGAGGGTGTGAGCTGCCGGGGCCGCTGGCAGAACTACCCATGGCGAGGATCAAAGAGGTGCGATGCGGTACCCGTGGGTGGGGTGAGATGCGGAGGTGACGATGGAACAAGGTAGTTGTCTGTGTCTGGATAGAGGGTGTGAGCTGCCGGGGCCGCTGGCAGAACTACCCATGGCGAGGATCAAAGAGGTGCGATGCGGTACCCGTGAGAGGGGTGAGATGCGGAGGTGACGATGGAACAAGGTAGTTGTCTGTGTCTGGGTAGAGGGTGTGGTGTGAGCTGCCGGGGCTGCTGGCAGAACTACCCATGGCGAGGATCAAAGAGGTGCGATGCGGTACCCGTGGGTGGGGTGAGATGCGGAGGTGACGATGGAACAAGGTAGTTGTCTGTGTCTGGATAAGAGGGTGTGAGCTGCCGGGGCCGCTGGCAGAACTACCCATGGCGAGGATCAAAGAGGTGCGATGCGGTACCCGTGGGTGGGGTGAGATGCGGAGGTGACGATGGAACAAGGTAGTTGTCTGTGTCTGGGTAGAGGGTGTGAGCTGCCGGGGCCGCTGGCAGAACTACCCATGGCGAGGATCAAAGAGGTGTGATGCGGTACCCGTGGGAGGGGTGAGATGCGGAGGTGACGATGGAACAAGGTAGTTGTCTGTGTCTGGATAGAGGGTGTGGTGTGAGCTGCCGGGGCCGCTGGCAGAACTACCCATGGCGAGGATCAAAGAGGTGCGATGCGGTACCCGTGGGTGGGGTGAGATGCGGAGGTGACGATGGAACAAGGTAGTTGTCTGTGTCTGGATAGAGGGTGTGAGCTGCCGGGGCCGCTGGCAGAACTACCCATGGCGAGGATCAAAGAGGTGCGATGCGGTACCCGTGGGTGGGGTGAGATGTGGAGGTGGATGGAACAAGGTAGTTGTCTGTGTCTGGATAGAGGGTGTGAGCTGCCGGGGCCGCTGGCAGAACTACCCATGGCGAGGATCAAAGAGGTGCGATGCGGTAACCGTGGTAAAATGCGGTAACCGTGGTACAATGCGGTAACCGTGGTACAATGCGGTAACCATGGTACAATGCGGTAACCGTGGTACAATGCGGTAACCGTGGTACAATGCGGTAATCGTGGTACAATGCGGTAACCGTGGTACAATGCGGTAACCGTGGTACAATGCGGTAACCGTGGTACAATGCGGTAACCGTGGTACAATGCGGTAACCGTGGTACAATGCGGTAACCGTGCGGTAACCGTGGTACAATGCGGTAACCGTGGTACAATGCGGTAACCGTGCGGTAACCGTGGTACAATGCGGTAACCGTGGTACAATGCGGTAACCGTGGTACAATGCGGTAACCGTGGTACAATGCGGTAACCGTGGTACAATGCGGTAACCGTGGTACAATGCGGTAACCATGGTACAATGCGGTAACCGTGGTACAATGCGGTAACCGTGGTAGTACAATGCGGTAACCGTGGTACAATGCGGTAACCGTGCGGTAACCGTGGTACAATGCAGTAACCGTGGTGCAATGCGGTAACCGTGGTACAATGCGGTAACCGTGGTACAATGCGGTAACCGTGCGGTAACCGTGGTACAATGCGGTAACCGTGCGGTAACCGTGGTACAATGTGGTAACCGTGGTACAATGCGGTAACCGTGGTACAATGCGGTAACCGTGGTACAATGCGGTAACCGTGGTACAATGCGGTAACCGTGGTACAATGCGGTAACCGTGGTACAATGCTGTAGCCGTGGTACAATGCGGTAACCGTGGTACAACCGTGGTACAATGCGGTAACCGTGGTACAATGAGGTAGGATGAGGAGGCACGATGATGATGCGGGATGAAAAGGTGGGATGAAGAAGGGAGCAAGGGAGAATGGGCAAGGCTGCTTCTTACAAAACAACTCATTATATCAAAACATTTATACGACCTTCTTATACAGCCTCTTTGCCATCAAATGCAAGATTCTCCTTCTTCCCCCCACACCTACCCTTCCCCCTCTCCGCTCCCCACTCCTCCTTCTTTCTCCTCCATCTCCCTCTTCTCCTCCGTCTCCCTCTTCTCCTCCGTCTCCCTCTTCTCCTCCGTCTCCCTCTTCTCCTCCGTCTCCCTCTTCTCCCGCCCTCTTCCCTTGCATGTGTACGTACGATCCGTATGAAGCGCCACCATGTTTACTTGTAACACTGGATACGCACACGGAGCATCAGCGCTGTCTTCTCTTCTCACAAGCCATGCACTTTCCCACGGTCTTTCTTTTGCATTGATGCGAAAGCGCAACGGCAAGCCATGCCGACAGGCTGGCTCGCCCTTTCCCTACTCTCAAGAAGTTTTGAGTTTGCCTCTCAAGTATTTCCCTACTCAAAACGCCATGCCGACAGGCTGGCTTGTCTCTCCCTACACTCAAGAACCACACACAAGCACAAGGGCAGGCAAATCGTTCTCCCTCCCTTCTCCCTCTCTTCTCCCTCCCTTCTCCCTCCCTCTCCGCGCTTTCCAGGTGTATGACACGAACCTGTTTGGAGCATTGGCGTTGTCCCAGGCAGTGTTTCCCTACATGCACAAGCAGAGGAGCGGGCGAATCATCAACGTTTCCAGTGTTGCTGGTTACACGTACAGGTGGGGTGGTTACAGTTACAGGTGTGGTGGCATTGCAGTGTCCCCCCCACAAGCACAAGAATCAGAGCGGCATGAGAAAAGGAACCATCCTTGCTTGCTTACTTCCTTGTGTTATTTCGCCCGCTTTCTTTCTAATTGCATTTTGTGACCAGGCCCTTAGTGAGGTCGTATGGCAGTAGCAAGCCGACGCTGGATCCAATCACCACTGCATGCGCAATCACCACTGCATGCGCAATCACCACTGCATGCGCAATCACCACTGCATGCGCAATCACCACTGCATTCGCAATCACCACTGCATGCGCAATCACCACTGCATGCGCAATCACCACTGCATGCGCAATCACCAAAGGCGGAAATGAAACTATTCACCCCACCACCCCCCCTCCCCTCCCCCCTCCCTAACCCACCCTCCGCGCTGCATGTTGTGAGCAGGCCCTTCGTGGGGACGTACGGGAGCAGCAAGGCGGCGTTCAACGCAATCAACAACTGCATGCGTGTGGACATAAAACCACTTCCCCCCCCCCCCCCCCCACCCCCACCCCCTCGGATCCCCCCCTCCTCGCACTGCATGTGTTGGGCAGGCCCTTCGTGGGGACGTATGGGAGCAGCAAGGCGGCGTTCAACGCGGTTACCAACTCCAGCCACCTAAGAAAACCATTTCATCCCCCCCACCCCACCCCACCTGTCATTGCTTGAGCAGCCCCTTCGTTGGGGCGTACGGGAGCAGCAAGGCGGCGTTCAACGCAATCAACAACTGCATGCGCGTGGACATAAAACCACTTACCCCCCCCCACCCCTCCCCCCTCCCCACCCCCACCCCCTCGGAACCCCCCCTCGCACTGCATGTGTTTGGCAGGCCCTTCGTGGGGACGTATGGGAGCAGCAAGGCGGCGTTCAACGCGGTTACCAACTGCATGCGCGTGGAAATGAAACCTCTGGGGATCGGTGTTGTGCTTGTTACACCCGGCTACATCCGCACCAACATTTTCAGGTGCTTTGTTTGAGCTACCTCAGTAAATGAAATTCGTTTCTTGATGAGGCACTGTACTGGTACTGTGCTTTGTTGTATTCGCAAAACCAACAATTTTAAGGTGCTTTGCTACTTTTCTATAGTTGTAGCAATGGACTTTCATGCCTTGATTATGGGTTATTGCACTACACTCAAACGCCCACCTCCCACTCCCCGCCAACAATCGTGCTGTTGTCTCCATTTTAGGAATCCCCCTCTCACTACCACGCTGTCTTTCCAACCCTGAACTCCCCTCCTCTTCCCCGCTTCCCCCTTCCCCCCACCCTACCTCCCCCCTTCTTTCTCCCGATTAATTCCCTTGCTTTAGCGAGAATGTCACCTGCATTTTAGTGCTCAAGGCTTGAGATATCTCAGGCGCCTCAAAAGAATCCGTTACTCCTTGCCTGAACATTGTTTTTCCCCATCCGTCCCCCCATCCGTAACCCCATCCGTCCCCCCATCCGTCCACCCATCCGTCCCCCCATCCGTCCCCCCATCCGCCCCCCCATCCGCCCCCCCATCCCATTGATGCTTTAGTGGCATCAATGCTCCCACATCCCTGTCCTCACATTCCCACACCATCGGCCATAATGCTCCTCTAGTCATTCCATGGAGTTATGTTCTTTCTTTTGGTCCCACGAGTCTTTCTTTTGCCTTCTTAACACTAACACCTCCACCTCTCGTGCGGCAAGAAAACCCCCTCCACATCCCTGTCCTCCCACAGCCAATCAGATGTTCAGTCTACTCATGTCCTCCCAATTGTCTTCTCCCTCCTTCCGTTACCACCCCCATCCTTCATGCAGCAAGAATGTCTCTCACATTCCTGTCCTCCCGCCATCAAGCCCGTTTAAGCCCATGGAGATTAATGTCCGCGAATCGTACGCCAAGCGGGCCAAGAACCAGTCATTTCCACCCGCATCTGAGCTGGCAAAGCGCATCGCTGATGCAGCACTCAGCCCAAATCCTCCTATCAGGATTTTGTTTGGAATGAGTGCGCTTCCTGCTGTGGTTGCAGGGGCAATGCCTTTATGGCTTCAAGATTTTGTGTATTCACGACTGTTTGGCAGTGGGAAAAATCTGTAGACTATTCCCGTGCCAATGTGTTCAGCCGAATATTATTGGCCTCTGAAGTTCCCAATTTCCAATGTGTTCTTCAATACACATTCTCGGCGTTACGCTTATATGCGAGGCGAGGCGAGCTCAAACCAGGGGTCTTTTTCCAGAGCAACGACTATCACGGCTTGTTCATGACCGCTACAGTCCAGCTTCCTGGGCAAACGTCATGATTATCTCCGGTTTGTTCCACGACATCAGGAGCACATCAGCAGCGTACATCTGCCATCAGAATCCGCGACAGCAACGACTTGGTAATTTCTGAAGTTAAATTTGTGTTTTGGTTTGGACATTCTGCCAAAAACGAGTTGCGACGGACTTTCACACTGCCACTGCAGTGTGCAGGGCGGGATATGTACAGTACTCAAGGAACTCAGGGGTGTTTATGCTCTTGTATTTTCTTTTTCGTGACCAAACGTACGCGGATGGTGTGAATGTGTAGCTCCGGTACACGTATTTCGTTGCGCAACACCCCTTTACGGGGAGCGGACATAGGCCACTGTTGTACAGTGGATTCCGACCCTTCCCTGGATTCCAGGGGTCAGTGTACGCAAAGATGACTGGTCAGTAGAGTTGGATGCTTGTTCATGAATGGCATACGATCCGATAGGGTTTTAGTTTTTTCTGCCCGGGGGCAGCAGGTCGTCAGGTCGTCAGTGGGTCGACGGAGCTGACGACCCATTTCCGCTGGGATATTCCGTGCGTCTCAACCCATTTCGCAAATACAAGACAGGTGTATCCAGGCAGGTGTCGACCTCGTTGGTTCAGTGGCTAATCCAGTGCGATCCAGTCGGCTTCCACACGGTGAACATCGGTTTTATTCACACAGCATTTTGAAATGCACACATGTCACGTTTAAATGTATCTGGTTCGTTTAATGCGGTCAAGTACGTCAAAAAGCGTCAAGTACGGTTTGCCTCGGTGGAAACCCAGAATCGTCTTTAACCTTTTTTTAGCGCACAGGACCGAATAGAACCAACCAGGTACATAAAACCGTGACCCTCTCTGATCAGCTTGCCACAACAGCTTTTACTGTACCTCATTTCACCAGAAATGTTCCCCCCCCTCCATCACTTTCACAGCAGCACTACCTTCACTCCAAACGCATCTTCACTCCAAACTCTCCTCCAACCCACGAACCAGAAAGCTAGCTCATATTTCCGCCACAAGAAACAGAAGTATGGACCCATTGAGGTGCCTGATAGTGCTATTACTTGGGATATTAATCAGATCTTCGCTCGTCCTTTCAGATTCGCTCAGCTTAATGGTAAGTCCGAACACACGTAGTCACAAAAACTTTCCCTCCGCATCGCGACGCGGAGTCTTAATTTCTCAATGCGTTTTACAACCCACTTCTGTCCCAGGATGACGACAGCCCCAGCACCACACTGAAACGAAGTCGAGTTGACATCACCATTGGAAATGCGTTATTCCAGCTCGAAGGCGCCTCCCACGTTGACTCGGATCCAAATCATCATGAAAATGGATACGAGTCATCAGATTTACCCTCGAAAACCTCGCCGAAACCAGCGGAGAAGCCGCAAATCGGCGGGAGATTCTTCGAGGCGGGCGGTTTTGGTTCCTGCGGCGTCCCGGACGTTCCCGACGACGCGGAGTGCGTGGCGGATCTCGCGGCATTTCCTGAGCTGGCTACGCGCAGCGGTACCCGCACGGTGCGCCGGTTGGCGTGCCTGGCGCACAGGTATCTGCGCCCGTGGATGGGAATTCCCGGGGTGAAGCGGGGGATGGGCGCGCGGGGAATGATCAGCGCGCAGATTCTACACCGGATGGGTCACATGACCAGCGTGAGTGTTGCTGGTTTACAAAATTTTAACAATCGAGTCGAATCTAAACCAATAATTTCAGTTATTTGAGCCGCATTTCTCCAAACTTTCTCCCTGCCACCATTTGGCCACCCTAGTGACCACTACCGGTACTCTCTAGAGCTCCTCTCATCCAACTTTTCCTGAAACTACTGTCAGATTAGCGAAAGTTGATTGGTTGAGAAAGTACTCTACCCGCCTCCTCCTGCACCACGAGCACTACTAGTTTTGCAGTGCGGCTACCGTAGCAAAAAAGGTAGCATTTCGGTAGTAGTTAGTGTTAGGGTTGGTTCGCCCAACCACGGAACCTAAGGCGAAAGCATCTACGACGGCGGAATGACGGCGAAATGGAAGCGCGTGTGTGAAACGGTGGAAATCGGCCTACGGTGGGGAATAGAGGCTACGGCGTGAGAAGCGGGAGAGAAATTGAGAAGAAATGTGCTAGAAGGAGGGAGAGAGAAGGAGAAGCATCGAGAATGAGATTGACGAGGGGAAAAATGTGCTTCGGGACCAAGGCGCGTTCGAGAAAGTTCGGGATTCGGACTTGCGGAGTGTTCACCGAATTCGGTTCGGTTGCGTGTGCGATTCGGGGTGAAACGAGGCGCACACGGTTACTTGGGAAACAAGTGAAGTTACGAATCTCATTTTGTGTCTTGCCTGACTATAAAGCTGCTTGTACTCATTTTGGAAATCATACCAATCAGATTCTGAAAATTGCTGGTGTATTGACAACTTCAAGCAGAGCTGCGCATATCATTGGATTCGGGAGATCGTGGAGAACACGATAGGCGATAGCAAGTAGACTAAGGTGTTTACGATCCTAAGAACTGGTAACAGAGCTTGACGAACGGGCTCGTCGATCGTCGCGAATTCACTTGGTGCGCTAAGTGAAATTAGTGGAGAAGAGGAGTCGTTCACGCCTACGCTATGGGAGACGAGGCGAGTTCGGGTTCCAGTGTGAGTCTTGGAGACCCGCAGTTGAAGGCTCTTCTCGAGGCCCTTGCGAGTGGCCGATTGGTGGCGAAACCGACGATTGGGCTCAGTGAAGCTCAGCGCTTCAATGGAAGCAACTACAACGTGTGGCGAAAGAAGTTCATTCGAAGGGCAGAGGAGGTGGACCTCTTGCCGTACTACCGTCCCGACGAGGAGACGATGGAGGGAGTTGCGCCTTCCACGACGGATACGAAGGAGATAATAGCGGCGTTTAAAAAGCAAAGTAAGCAAGCTTTCTTTCAGCTTTGTCATTCAGTTGTCGATGGAATCGCGGTGGATTTGGACCAGTTTGCAGGGGAGCTGAACCCTGCACAGCGAGCGTGGGAGTACCTGGAGTCCACATACATGGGTACGAACGATGTCAACAAGAAGGCGATTAGGAAGCAACTGCTAATGCTGAGCATGGAGAAAGGCGAGAAAATCATCACCTACATCAACAGGGCGAAAAGCTACAACGACGATTTGCGGGTGATGGGAGTCGCGGAGATGGAGCACGAGATGATTGACTATATCATCCAAGGCCTTCCTAAGGAGTGGGAATCCGACATTGGTATGTTTACGTACCAACCGCCGGAGAGTTTGATGAAGTTGCAGGAGATTCTGCAGTCGCTTGAGACGGTGAAGGAGATGAGGAAGAAGAAAGCAGCAGCAGCAGTTACAGAATTCGACGAGGAGAGGCCGGGTATGGTGAATGCCACGAAGGCGTTTGGAGCATGCTACCAGTGTGGAAAGAGGGGACATAAAGCGATAAATTGCTACGAAAATCCTCGAAGCAGAAACTACAAGGGCAAAGCTGTGGAGAATGATAAAGGAGAAAATGCAGGAGCGGAGTGGCAGCAGAAACGAGGTTTTGGCGGCAAGTGTGATTATTGTGGGCGCTACGGGCATCGTGCCGCAGAGTGCTACTCCAACCCGAATAGCATGAGCTACAAGGGTCCGTCGCAGCAGAGGAATGTGGCGACAAAGGCGAATGTAGTGGAAGCGGAAAAGGAGGATGTGATTTTGGGAGGAGCGCATCTCGCGAACGTGGTGCGGTTACCGAAGGAGGCTCAG